CCTGTGCAAAAAATACCACGCGGGCGACATGCGCGCGCGTCGCCGCGAACGCATGCTCAAATCCTTCTAGAGTCGTCGCCGTCATTGGCACCGTCGCATGGACGTCCTGTCGTCCACGTCGCAAAATGCATGGCAGGAATGGGACCCGGCTTACCGGGCCGTTCTCGACACGGCCACCTCTGGCTTCCTGCGGTGTACCGGGCCATTCTCGACTCGTCTGGCAATGCGTGCGCGGCATTCAACACGCGCTCGCCAGTTCCCGTCGGCAACCGCCATCGCGGCCGCATCAGCTGTACCAAACCGGCTGGCCGGTGTGACTTCGGCCCCCAGTTGTGCCAGCTTTGCTTCTTATGTTGTGGGAGGGCGGGTGGGACTGGGCATGCCATGCTTGACTCGCTCGAGCTGGCTAGCTTGACTCCTACTCCTACTCCTACTCCTACTCCTACTCCTACTCCTACTACTATTACTCCTACTCCCACCTCTAGTCCTACTCCTTCCTCTACTACTACTCCTACTTCCTACTCCTACTCCTCCTCCTCCTCCTCCTCCTACCTCTCCACCTACTACTACTACTACTACTTACTACTACTACTACTACTAGTACTACTACAACACTACTACTACTACTACTACTACTAACTACTACTACGACTACGACTACGACTACGACTACTACTACTACTACTACTACTACTACTACTACACTACTACTACTACTACTACTACTACTACTACTACTACTACTATCACTACCACTACCAGTACCACTACCACTACCACTACCAGTACTACGACTACTGCTACTGTCGCTGCTACTGCTACTGCTACTACTACTGCTACTGCTACTGCTACTGCTACTGCTACTGCTACTGCTACTGCTACTGCTACTACTACTACTACTACTACTACTACTACTACTACTACTACTGCTACTGCTACTACTACTACTACTACTACTACTACTTCTACGACCACTGCTACTACTACTACTACTACTACTACTACTACTACTACTTCCCACTACTGCTACGACTGCTACTACTACTATTATTATTGCTATTACTATTACTACTACTACTACTACTACTACTACTACTACTACTACTATTACTACTGCTACTACTGCTGCTGCTACTGCTACTATCATCACTTCTTCTCCTACTACTAGGACTAGTACTACTTCGACTACTAGTACTACTGCTACCACTACCACTACCACTACCACAACAGCAACAACAACAACAACTACTACTACTACTACTATTACTACTATTACTCCTTCTACTACGACTACTACTACTTCTACTACGACTACTACTTCTACTTCTACTTCCTTTGCTACTACTACTACTACTACTACTACTACTACTACGACTACTACGACTACTACTACTACTACCACTACTACTATGACTACTTCTATTGCTGCTGTTACTACTACTACTACTACTACTACTACTACTACTACTAACTACTACTACTACTACTAGTACTACTACTACTACTACTAGTACTACTACTACTACTACTACTACTCCTACTACTACTACTACTACTGTTACTACTACTACACTACTACTACTACTACTACTACTACTACTACTACTACTACTAGTACTACTACTACTACTACTACTAACTACTACTACTACTACTACTACTACTACTACTACTACTACTATACTACTAGTACTACTACTAGTAGTAGTAGTACTACTACTACTACAACTACTGCTACTACTACTACTACTACTACTACTACTACTACTACCTCTATTTCTATCACTCGTATCATTACTACTACTGCTACGAATACTTTTGCTCATTGTCATTACGAATGCTATCACATATGCTCATATATATGTATTGTTGCCATTATTCTTTTTTTTTCTTGCTCTTCTCATCATAAACTAGCACTGTGACTTGTTATTGCCATTACTACCATCACTTATATCATAGTTTTCCATACTCGGATTAATTATATTATTATTCCTCCTTCTTCATCCTCCTTCCTCCTCCCCCCTTGCTCCTCCTCCTCCTCCTCATTCTCGCTCCTCGCTCCTCCTCGGTCCTTCTCGCTCCTCCTCCCCCTCCCCCTCCCCCTCCCCCTCCCCCTCCTCCTCCTCCTCCTCCTCCTCCTCCTCCTCCTCCTCCTCCTTCTCTGCCTGTCCTTCCGAGGCAGCCAGGCCCAGGGTCGCTCTCAACGTGTAGCCGACAGTCCGCGGCTCGTGCGGGCGGAGCTGTACCGGTACAGCTTTGCGCCGCCGCCGCGCACCGCCCAGGAGCCGTATTTCGGCGACTACAAAGTGTATGGTTACGCCGGGGTGTGGCTTGCGATCGGCACCGTTGGGGCCTGGGGGGCACGACGCTGTCCTCGTCGGGCCTCCTCGTTCCGCGGGAGAACTCAATCGACGTCTCCGCGCGCCCCCTAGGTTGGCCCCTAGGATGTTCCCCAGGGTGCCGGTTGCAAAGCACACCCTTTGCAAACCACACCCTTTGGAGTCGCCGAGTATTGGCTGCGGGAGCGCGTGGGCTGCTACCTGCCGCAGCTGGGCCTGGAGCGGGCGGCGTCCATCATGGCTGAGCTCGGCATGGTGGGCTGAGGGCGGCCCTCCTCGGGCGGCCCTCCTCGGGCGGCTAGCAAAAACACTCAACACATCTGATCCTCGATCCCTGATCCTCCCTCCCCCTCCCCCTCGCCTTTGGCCCTCCCCCATGCCCATCCCTTTCCCCCTCCCCCTCCCCTGCTCCTCTGATGGGGGCGGAGTGGGGGAGTCAGGGAGGGACAGCTCCTGCCCCCCTGACCTGGCCTGCTCCGACACCTCGGCTTGGTGCGTCTTGTCGGCACCACTTCTGCTCAGCCGCGACCTGCTGGCACCGACGAGGCCTGTGATTCTAAGTCTCAGCCCTCCTTTCTTCGGCATCACCCAAAAACACATGATCATACGATCGGCGTCAGCCCTAACATACTTATACTATGTGTGCGTCGCCCCCCCAACATGGGGCGACGCGCGCACCGAGAAGCCTTCTAGTATATGCGTCGTGGCGGGCGCTTTCTGGCCACACCGCAAGATGGGTACACTACCTGTGCGGGTCGGACGCGCGCCTCCACGGAGGACACATCGTACCAGTACGTCCCTTTGCGTCCCATACGAGACGTGTGCGTCGGCGCCCCCGGAGGTTGGGCGAGGCGCGCGCTCCGAAGAAGCTTCTGGTGTGCGTGTGTGTGTGTGTGTGTGCTCGGTGGCGGGCGCCTTCCAGCCACGTGCCGCCCGGTCGGCGACATCACTCCGGGGGCGGCAAAGAGGGGGGGGGTAATGACTGGGCGGGGGGGGGGTGGACATCATGGCGGGGGCCATGATGTCATGGCGCCTCTTCTTGTGTCAATCTGTCCCTGCCCCCCCCCCCCCCCCCGGGGCCGCGCACATGCCGCCGGCCATGATGTGCGCCCCCCCCCCTCTTGGACACCCCTCTCCTGGCCGCCCCCGATGTTCTCGCTGCGTGTTCGGCTCGGGTGTGCGCCTCCAAGGGGTGGCGCGCAGTACTGCAGCCCCCCCGGACAGAACTTGAGGGGAACACTCTCACTCCTGCCCCCGCCCGCCCCTGGCCCCCGACGGCCCGAGGAACTGAGCTCGGCGGTCACGCCCGTCAACACTGGAAGGGGGACAGGGGGGGCTGCGGACCACATGGCCTCAGTGCGACCTCGCAGCTATCCGAAGAATGCCACACATGGTCCCATGCCTGCTTCCAGCATTTTTCCCGGAAAGGTCTCCCCCCCGGTTTTGACGGCTGTAGGGCCGGCGAATTTCTTCTGCGATAAACAACGAGGTCGCGTAGGGCCGGCGAATTAACATTGGAGGATGTCTCGAGCGAAACGCTTGAAGCGAAACGCTGGTTTTGTAGAGTTGGCGGATGTCTCGAGCGAAACGCTTGTTTTTCAGAATTCGTTGAGGATGTCTCGAGCGAAACGCTGGTTTTTGCAGAGTTGGGGGATGTCTCGAGCGGGGGCCTCGTGGGGGCCAGAATTCAGAGGATGTCTCAGGCGAAAAACTAGTTTTCACGTGCCTAGGTGGGCCAGGGGGGAATCCAACATGGTTGTCCGTCGCTGACGCCTCAGACGACCGCATCTTGGATACCCCCCCTGGGTGGGCTGGAACCGTGAGTTTTTACGTGTACAGGCCATCAGGGGGTATCTAACATGATGTTCCCGAGCTGCAATCACGTTTTTTCACGTGTCCAGCCCACCCAGGGGTGTATCTAACATGGTGGTCCCGAGCTGGAACCACGTGTTTTAACATGTTCAGGCCACCCAGGAGGGTATCTAACATGGTGGTCCTGCGCTGGTTCTAGCTCGAGCTTCAGATCCAGATCAGTTCGGCCAGGACTCGTATGCAACGGAGGACTCGATCCACAACGCTATAGAGCACAGTCGCGGCATGGCACATCGCAGTTCAGCACGGCGCAGCACAGCACAGCCCTCGGCACGGTACATCTAGATCGATACACTCACTCAGCATTGCAACCTGGCACGTTCTTTGGCACGTTCCGTGGCGCGTCCTGTGGCGAGTCCCCCTGGCACGTCGCGCGGCGCGTCGCCTGGCACGTCCCGTGGCACGTCCATTGGCACGTTCCGTAGCGCGTTCCCTTGGCAAGTCCCGCGGTGCGTCCCCATGGCACGTCCCCTGGCACGTCGCCTGTCGCGTCCCTTGGAACGTTCCGCGGCGCGTCTTCCTGGCATATTCCCCTGTCAATTAGCTCTGGGGCAGCTACTATGTGGACTATGTGCTGAGGCAGCTCGAGCTTAAGATCCAGATCAGTTCGGTCAGGACTCGTATGCAATGGAGGACTCGATCCACAACGCTATAGAGCACAATCGCGGCATGGCACATCGCAGTTCAGCACGGCGCAGCACAGCACAGCCCTCGGCACAGTACATCAAGATCGATACACTCACTCAACATTGCAACCTGGCACGTTCCTTGGCACGTTCCGTGGCGCGTCCTGTGGCGAGTCCCCCTGGCACGTCCCGCGGTGCGTCCCCATGGCACGTTCCCTGGCACGTCGCCTGTCGCGTCCCTTGGAACGTTCCGCGGCGCGTCTTCCTGGCATGTTCCGCTGTTAATTAGCTCTGGGGCAGCTACTATGTGCTCACGCAGCTCGAGCTTAAGATCCAGATCAGTTCGGTCAGGACTTGTATGCAACGGAGGACTCGATCCACAACGCTATAGAGCACAATCGCGGCATGGCACATCGCAGTTCAGCACGGCGCAGCACAGCACAGCCCTCGGCACGGTACATCTAGATCGATACACTCAGCATTGCATTTGCCCGTCGCCCAAGTAGGTGTCTTTGACACGTTGCCATGTCTTACATTTCAATATTCCTTTCCGGGTTCGTGGGTCGATCATGTTTTTCCCAACCATCCTGTGGTGTTGGGTCCTCGTTTTGAAGAGACGGTGCCCCGCGTTCCCGCCTCCTTCCTCCCTCCCTCCTCCCCAGGGCCCTCACACCTTTCGTGGTCCCATGGGGAGCTCCACCGAGGGCCCCAGTGGCTGCGTCCGCATGCGGTTCCACCCCCCATTTCGGCACACCCCTCACACGTTTCGTGGCCCCATAGGGAGCTCCACCGAGGGCCCCAGTGGCTGCGTCCGCATGCGGTTCCACCCCCAATTTCGGCACACCCCTCACACGCTTCGTGGCCCCATAGGGAGCTCCACCGAAGGCCCCAGTGGCTGCGTCCGCATGCGGTTCCACCCCCCATTCTGGCACACCCCTCACACGTTTCGTGGCCCCATAGGGAGCTCCACCGAAGGCCCCAGTGGCTGCGTTCGCATCGCACCCATTTCGGCACACCCCTCACACGTTTCGTGGCCCCATAGGGAGCTCCACCGAAGGCCCCAGTGGCTGCGTTCGCACCGACCCATTTCGGCACACCCCTCACACGTTCGTGGCCCCATAGGGAGCTCCACCGAAGGCCCCAGTGGCTGCGCATGGCGGCGCCGCACCCATTTCGGCACACCCCTCACACGTTTCGTGGCCCCATAGGGAGCTCCACCGAAGGCCCCAGTGGCTGCGTTGGCATGGCGGCGCCGCACCCATTTCGGCACACCCATCACACGTTTCGTGGCCCCCTAGGGAGCTCCACCGAAGCTCCCAGTGGCTGCGTTGGCATGGCGGCGCCGCGCCGAAGAAGATGTTCACTATTGCGGTACTCACAGCTGCATATGGTTGGGTCCTTCGCCAGGCTAATTTCGGGAGTGGTATGGGGGCTCCGTCGAAGGCCCGAATGGCAGCGTCCGCATGGCGAGACCGCACTGATTTCGGCACCCCCACACGTTTCGTTGCCACATAGGGAGCTCCGTCGAAGGCCCCAGTGGCAGCGTCCGCATGGCGGCACCGCACCCATGTCGGTACACCCCTCGCACGTTTCTTGGCCCCTCTCCTTCGCCCCTCCTTTGGCAATGTTCAAGCACCATCAGTTGCCGCTCAGTCAGAACCCGCTGGGAATCACGTGCTGCGCCGTCACACTCTCACAGCTCAACCCAGGATGACTTTTTGGCATGTGTCGCTTCTGTAGCGTACTGCTCCTGTCCTGACCACGCACTGCTTGGTGTACCACTCGCTCGCTTGCTTTCTTGCCTCTCGATGCCCCCAGCTGCACATGGTTGGGTCCTTCGTGGAGCCCTCTTTCTCCTCGTGGCGCCGAGCGCGCCACCTGCGGGCGCGCGCCCTTCCCACCCCCCCGCGCCTCTGGCGCGCAGGACGCCACTCCGGAGCCGCAGGGGCCGCCCGGCTTCGAGGCGGGGCGGCGGGCTCTCGTGCCCTCCTGGACGTACGTCCGCGGCGAGCCCAGGGGGGAAGTGGGAAGGGGCGGGCCTTCCCAGGAGGCTCGGAAGTCCCCCGGCCTTCTGATCAGTGTTCCAAGTTTTCTCCGAAGACACAGACACTTCTCAGAAGGCGCGAGGGTCTCTGAGGAGCCCCGACGACCATTCTGAGAAGGCCTCCTCCTCCTCGCTTCCCCCGCTCGCTCGCTGCCGAGTATATGACAGGCGCCTCGCCCCGCCTCTTCCCTGGACCGTCTGTCACCGGGCGCGTTCCACTACTCGCAAAGTGCCCACTCGCAAAGGTCCAACACTAAAAACATGCCTTCCTACTTGGAACGTGTCGCACCACCCCGCGGCGAATCCAGGCCATTCGCGAGCAGCTACTTCTTGCGAGTAGCGGGGCGCGCTCGTCCAGCAGTCGGGGGGCCCCCCGGGAGTCTCGCTCTCTGCCCTCCGGGCACGGCCGCGGGGCCGTCGCCTCTGCGCTCGGGCGTCTCGCCGGCGGTCGGCCTCCTCTCCCCCCCATGCGCTCCGGGGGGTGGAGCGGGAGCCGGGCCGCCCCCTGCTTCCTTGAAGTCGGGCCTGTCCCTCCACAGGAGGAATGTTCAGGAAGAACTGCAGAAAATAGTCTTGTGACGATTTCTCGAGAATTGTGACCCTTGTTGAATCTTTTTGTTTGTGGCTATTTGTTCTAGTTCTTACCCCAAATCCGCCTGTAGGGGGACACGCCCGACCTAATGCTGCCTGTCGCGGGCGGTCGTGAGTCGGTCGGCACGAACGAGGCGAGCACAGGAAGAGTGGGCACGAATCGGCGGCGAAATCCGAGCCCTGCCCTCGCCGATCAACGATGCAGGCCACGCGATCGGCGGCGGGGGTAGGGTTCGGAATTCGTCAGAGGCGTGGCGAAGTCCGAGCCCCACCCGCGCCTCCCATCGATCCAGGAGGGTCGATGGTCGGCATCATGGCTGGTGGGGGTAGGGTTCGGATGTCGCTACGGGGCGTCGGGGCAGGCGGGGGGGGCAGGACGTCGGGACGATCAGAATGGGTGCGGAACGCATGGGTGCAAAGGCCGACAGCATGTCCTGTCCATCTTGAACAGGGCTCGGTGTCGGTGTCGCCGCGGACGCTGTCCATTTGAGACTGACGGCCGCCCGCCCAACGGCGGCCGCTGTCGGTTTTGGACCACACATGTTGTTGGGTATGGTGCCCATTTTTGCCTCAGCCATCTCGGGTGTCCAAAGGGTGAGCCCAGACCTCTGACGCAGAGCCCATTCCGATCCGATCGGTCCGATTCGGTATCGAGTTTGCCAGCCCGATCCGATTCGGTCCCGATGCTCCGACGACCAGTGCCTGCACGGCGCCGTTGTGCATCCTGGCGCGGTCGAGTCGAGTCGGTCCCGGCCCCGTGCCGATGCAGACCAACTCGATGCTTGCTCCGATCCGATTTGGGTTATCGATTCGTTGTCGGCCGCTCCTGCGGGGGGGGCAGTCGGGCGGGGCTGGCACGAGGCGAAATCTGTTCCAGAGCGTTCCGGAACGCCCTCAGAGCGTGCCGGACCCCCCCCCCCGCGAGAAGGCCGCGGCGCCCGATACATCCTCCAGAGCCGTATCTTCACCCGATTTAGCGAGCTAACGAATAAGGTGTTGGAGGGGGGAAAGAAAAAACAAACAATTATCCTCACCCTGGCTTCGTCTGAGGTGGAGGTGCGCCCAGATCTCCAGCTCTGTGGGAGCGAGCCGTACGGCGGCCAGCCTCTGCCACGTGGGGTCTTCTCGGGGCGTCCGGAGGGGGATCGGGCCAGCAGGGGGTCAAGAGCACCTGAGGGCGCAGGCTATTAGAATGTGGGGACAGCAGATGTCATGGTGCCAACATCGCAGAGCGGATCTGGTTCGGAAATCAATGGGATGGGCTGGATCGTCCTGGAGAATGTTGTTTGGGATTTTGAATTGACTTTCGTGCGTTCTTTTGGCCAGGAATGAAGACTACAACAAATCCACGCAAAATTCACTTCGGTTTTCGCTCGTCGTTTCGGGGCCTTGCATCGACAGAAATCCACGCACAAAAACCGCTGGAGCACGTCTGCAAGGTCGGTGCAGTGGCAGCATATGACTGGGTGAGGGGGAGGAGGCTTTTCCTTCCTCTTTCGCCGTCCTCAACCCTTCCGTTTCTCCTCCTGCCTCTTCCCTCCTGCCTCCTCCGCCTCCTCATCCAAGCCACCGCGCGGTCAATCATTGGCATTGGTGGGCACAGGAACCCAGGAAAACATCACACCTCACCCTGTACGTAACTTTTGCCCCGCGCATGCGCCGCAAGGTTGAGCTCGTGCATCATGACCTTGCGCTGGTGGGGGCACCACGAGACGATGAGAGCGTCGTCCTCGAGCAGACCGTCGCAACGTTGATGAAACGCCGTCGCCGCCGCCTCGAGTGCTCGAAGCGCGCAGAGCGCAGCTCGCGGGCATGACCATCCTTGACGAGCTGTTGGCCAAGCCCCCGCCGCCGATGCTTCGGCCGCCCAGACTCCTGCCACCAGACGTGTCGAAAGGCACGGGCAAGGAACAGATCCAACGGGTGACGCTGGTCGACGAGGGTAGCGGCCACGGAGACGACAAGGACGACACTGCAGAAGAGGAGGGGTGCACAGAGGACGAAGTTCCAGCGGAGCCAGTTCAAACACCAGTTGCCCATGATCAGGTCGTTGGGTGTTCACGATCAGGCTGATGCACTCAAGATCCAGTTGAACCCATCCAGATTCCAAGTGGAACTGTCCAGGCTCCAGCTGAACACGTTCGCGGTCACGCGCTCATTTCAAAATCCAGCTGGACCCGTTCATTTTCCTGGGATGCCCGCCCCGCAAATTACATGAACTTGTTAAGATCACAACCAGACCCGCTTGGGTACAGGCGTAACTTCTTCAAGCTCCAGCTTCCGTCAAACGTTCTCGTGAACACGTTCACATCCTTGCTGACAACGTTCACTGCCGCGATGTCAGCGTAGATTACGAGGCCTCCGTAATGAGCGGCGCCGCGCATATCGGGATTGCCGCGCAGCTCGAGGAGAAGAGCCCGCCGCAGCGAGCCAGCATAGTCGACCTCGCACACGACACGCTAGAGGATCGGCTCGGAGATTGCTTCGTGTTCTCTCCAGTGGTTGGAAGACGCACTGGTGGAACCGAGCCAGGGAAGTCGTTAATGGCTGGGCGTCGATCACTGTTTTTGGCTCGCGCGAGGATAGCGTTGTCATGTTCATGGTGACATTAGCGGGCCAGCTCTGTGATTGAAGGTAGCCTCGCCAGCGATGATTGAGCAGCGTGCGATTGAAGGAGAGCAGGCTTCCCAGAAGTGACTCAGGGGCAGTTTTGGGACATGCGCCTAGGTGCGTGATATCCGGCGCTGAACCCTATTCCACATCCTAGGGCTGAGGGCGCAGAGGGTTTGCACGAGTGCTCGCTGGCCCCAGAGCCTGCTGCGTGTGGGGCCAGATGGGAAGGCCGTGCCAGAGCGCGCGGTCTCTGCGCCCGTGTATTTTGATTTGCAAGTGAGGCGTGGCTCACCCCAGTTGGTTCCGAGACGTGGGCACGTGCTGTTGGCGGTTGTTGTTGGCTGTTGGTTGTTGTCTGTGTGTGTGTGTGTGCTGTCACATGTTCGCGGGTTGTACGATGTGATTTTGAAAGCTGTTGAGAGAGCCGCGACCTGTCGGGCCCGAGTTAGAGTCGAGTCGAGGCCTCTTTTTTCCCGGAAGGGGCTCCGGCCCAGGGTTCTCTTTTAGTGAGTTTCCCCCCTGCACCTACGGGAGGTGGGCCTGCGGAATTGATCTGCGATGAATTTCGAGGTAAAGTGTGAATTTTCAGTTGAACAAGTGCGTTTTTCGCGTGCCCGCTCGAGGAAAGTTTGCCCTCCGTCTCGGATCCTCGATAAATAACGGGGTCCGCAGACCACCGTTTTCCTCTGTGAAAAAGAGGGTGCGGCACGTTTTGTGTGGAATCCATGAGAAATAACGAGGTCCGGAGACCCGACCAATTCGTAAAAAAGGCCACCCAGGAGGTATCGAGCATGGCGGTCCCGAGCTAGGGTATCTAACATGGTGGTCCCGAGCTGGAATCCCGTGTTTTCACGTGTCCAGCCCACCCATGGGGGGTATCTAACATGGTGGTCCCGAGCTGGAATCACATGTTTTTACATCTTCAGGCCACCCAGGGGGGTATCTAGCATGGTGATCCGTCACTGGAACCGCGTGTTGTCAAGTGTCCAGGCCACCCAGGGGGGTTTCTAACTTGGTGGTCCTGTGCTGGAACCGTGTGTTTTTACATGTCCAGGCCACTGCACGTGTCCTTGGGCTGTCCTTGCAGACTCCCTGGGATTGCACGCCCGCCTGGCCTCTCAGACGCCCTGGGTTGCTGCACCCCCCCCCGCCGCCTGATCCGCGGCCCCCGCGCGCGCCTGGGAATTTAGTCGCGGCCGCAGCCCGACCGTGACCGCTCGCCGTCGGCGCCTCCGCCTGCGGCTGTAAAAAAAAAAGTGTCCAGACCACCCATGGGGGTATCTAACATGATTGTCCCGAATTGGAACCATGTTTTTTTGCGGGTCCAGGCCGCCAAAGGGGGATATCCAACATGGCGTCGGACCCAACGCCGAATTGTCAGGAAACGCACGGGGAGCCGAAAAGCGCTAACTGAACACATATCCTAAAACAAAACAGTCATGTTTTCTTGCTCTATACAGGGGGTGGCGCTTTGGGGGCCTCTCCAGGGAAGACAGTGCGATGATGTCTCGAGCAGGAGCGCGAATTCAGCGTATCCAGGCCACGCAGGGGGTATCTAACATGGATGTCCCGAGTTGCAACCACATGTTTTTACATGTCCAGGCCACTCAGGGGGATATCTAACATGTTCGTCCCGAGCTGGAACCACGTGTTTTTACCTGCCCAGGCCACTCTGGGGGGTATCTGACGTAGTTGTCCCGACTGACACCACGTGTTTTTACGTGTCCAGGCCACCCAGGGGGTATCTAACATGGTGGTCCCGAGCAAAGACCAGGTGTTAAACGTATCCAGGCCGCTCATGGGTGCATCTAACACGGATGTCCCGAGCTGGCACCCGCGTTTTCACGTGTCCAGGCCACCCAGGGGGGGTATCCAACATGGTTGCCCCGAGCAAGGGCCACGTTTTTTCACGTGTGTAGGCCATCCAGGTGTGTATCTAACATGGTTGTCCAGACCTGGATCCATTTGTTTTTACATGTCCAGGCCGCCCAAGGGGGTATCTAACGTGGTGGTCCCGCGCTGGAACCATGTGTTTTTACGTGCCCAGGCCTCCCTGGGGGTATCTAACTTTGTTGTCCCGAACTGGTACCGCGTGTTTTCACGTGTCCAGGCCACCCAGGAGGGTTTCTCACTTGGTGGTCCTGTGCTGGAACCGTGTGATTTTGCGTGTCCAGACCACCCAAGGGGTATCTAACATGATTGTCCCGAATTGGAACCACGTGTTTTTACGGGTCCAGGCCGCCAAAGGGGGATATCCAACATGGCGTCGGGCCCAACGCCGAATTATCAGGAAACGCACGGGGAGCCGAAAAGCGCTAACTGAACACATATCCTAAAACAAAACAGTCATGTTTTCTTGCTCTATACAGGGGGTGGCGCTTTGGGGGCCTCTCCAGGGAAGACATTGCGATGATGTCTCGAGCAGGAGCGCGAATTCAGCGTATCCAGGCCACGCAGGGGGTATCTAACATGGATGTCCCGAGTTGCAACCACATGTTTTTACATGTCCAGGCCACTCAGGGGGATATCTAACATGTTCGTTCCGAGCTGGAACCACGTGTTTTTACTTGCCCAGGCCACTCTGGGTGGTATCTGACGTAGTTGTCCCGACTGACACCACGTGTTTTTACGTGTCCAGGCCACCCAGGGGGTATCTAACATGGTGGTCCCGAGCAAAGACCAGGTGTTAAACGTATCCAGGCCGCTCATGGGTGCATCTAACACGGATGTCCCGAGCTGGCACCCGCGTTTTCACGTGTCCAGGCCACCCAGGGGGGGTATCCAACATGGTTGCCCCGAGCAAGGGCCACGTTTTTTCACGTGTGTAGGCCATCCAGGTGTGTATCTAACATGGTTGCCCAGACCTGGATCCATTTGTTTTTACATGTCCAGGCCGCCCAAGGGGGTATCTAACGTGGTGGTCCCGCGCTGGAACCATGTGTTTTTACGTGCCCAGGCCTCCCTGGGGGTATCTAACATTGTTGTCCCGAACTGGTACCGCGTGTTTTTACGTGTCCAGGCCACCCAGGAGGGTTTCTCATTTGGTGGTCCTGTGCTGGAGCCGTGTGATTTTGCGTGTCCAGACCACCCAGGGGGTATCTAACATGATTGTCCCGAATTGGAACCACGTGTTTTTACGGGTCCAGGCCGCCAAAGGGGGATATCCAACATGGCGTCGGGCCCAACGCCGAATTATCTGGAAACGCACGGGGAGCCGAAAAGCGCTAACTGAACACATATCCTAAAACACAACAGTCATGTTTTCTTGCTCTATACAGGGGGTGGCGCTTTGGGGGCCTCTCCAGGGAAGACATTGCGATGATGTCTCGAGCAGGAGCGCGAATTCAGCGTATCCAGGCCACGCAGGGGGTATCTAACATGGATGTCCCGAGTTGCAACCACATGTTTTTACATGTCCAGGCCACTCAGGGGGATATCTAACATGTTCGTTCCGAGCTGGAACCACGTGTTTTTACCTGCCCAGGCCACTCTGGGGGGTATCTGACGTAGTTGTCCCGACTGACACCACGTGTTTTTACGTGTCCAGGCCACCCAGGGGGTATCTAACATGGTGGTCCCGAGCAACGACCAGGTGTTAAACGTATCCAGGCCGCTCATGGGTGCATCTAACACGGTTGTCCCGAGCTGGCACCCGCGTTTTCACGTGTCCAGGCCACCCAGGGGGGGGGGGGGGTATCCAACATGGTTGCCCCGAGCAAGGGCCACGTTTTTTCACGTGTGTAGGCCATCCAGGTGTGTATCTAGCATGGTTGTCCAGACCTGGATCCATTTGTTTTTACATGTCCAGGCCGCCCAAGGGGGTATCTAACGTGGTGGTCCCGCGCTGGAACTGTGTGTTTTTACGTGCCCAGGCCTCCCTGGGGGTATCTAACATTGTTGTCCCGAACTGGTACCGAGTGTTTTCACGTGTCCAGGCCACCCAGGAGGGTTTCTCACTTGGTGGTCCTGTGCTGGAGCCGTGTGATTTTGCGTGTCCAGACCACCCAGGGGGTATCTAACATGATTGTCCCGAATTGGAACCACGTGTTTTTACGGGTCCAGGCCGCCAAAGGGGGATATCCAACATGGCGTCGGGCCCAATGCCGAATTATCTGGAAACGCACGGAGGGCCGAAAAGCGCTAACTGAACACATATCCTAAACCCGAGCAGTCATGTTTTCTTGCTCTATACAGGGGGTGGCGCTTTGGGGGCCTCTCCAGGGAAGACATTGCGATGATGTCTCGAGCAGGAGCGCGAATTCAGCGTATCCAAGCCACGCAGGGGGTATCTAACATGGATGTCCCGAGTTGCAACCACATGTTTTTAAATGTCCAGGCCACCCAGGGGGATATCTAACATGTTCGTCCCGAGCTGGAACCACGTGTTTTTACATGCCCAGGCCACTCTGGGGGGTATCTGACGTAGTTGTCCCGACTGACACCATGTGTTTTTACGTGTCCAGGCCACCCAGGGGGTATCTAACATGGTGGTCCCGAGCAAAGACCATGTGTTTAAACGTATCCAGGCCGCTCATGGGTGCATCTAACACGGTTGTCCCGAGCTGGCACCCGCGTTTTCACATGTCCAGGCCACCCAGGGGGGTATCCAACATGGTTGCCCCGAGCAAGGGCCACGTTTTTTCACGTGTGTAGGCCATCCAGGTGTGTATCTAACATGGTTGCCCAGACCTGGATCCATTTGTTTTTACATGTCCAGGCCGCCCAAGGGGGTATCTAACGTGGTGGTCCCGCGCTGGAACCATGTGTTTTTATGTGCCCAGGCCTCCCTGGGGGTATCTAACATTGTTGTCCCGAACTGGTACCGCGTGTTTTCACGTGTCCAGGCCACCCAGGAGGGTTTCTCACTTGGTGATCCTGTGCTGGAACCGTGTGATTTTGCGTGTCCAGACCACCCAGGGGGTATCTAACATGATTGTCCCGAATTGGAACCACGTTTTTACGGGTCCAGGCCGCCAAAGGGGGATATCCAACATGGCGTCGGGCCCAACGCCGAATTATCAGGAAACGCACGGGGAGCCGAAAAGCGCTAACTGAACACATATCCTAAAACAAAACAGTCATGTTTTCTTGCTCTATACAGGGGGTTGCGCTTTGGGGGCCTCTCCAGGGAAGACATTGCGATGATGTCTCGAGCAGGAGCGCGAATTCAGCGTATCCAGGCCACGCAGGGGGTATCTAACATGGATGTCCCGAGTTGCAACCACATATTTTTACATGTCCAGGCCACCCAGGGGGATATCTAACATGTTCGTCCCGAGCTGGAACCACGTGTTTTTACATGCCCAGGCCACTCTGGGGGGTATCTGACGTAGTTGTCCCGACTGACACCACGTGTTTTTACGTGTCCAGGCCACCCAGGGGGTATCTAACATGGTGGTCCCGAGCAAAGACCAGGTGTTAAACGTATCCAGGCCGCTCATGGGTGCATCTAACACGGTTGTCCCGAGCTGGCACCCGCGTTTTCACGTGTCCAGGCCACCCAGGGGGGGGTATCCAACATGGTTGCCCCGAGCAAGGGCCACGTTTTTTCACGTGTGTAGGCCATCCAGGTGTGTATCTAACATGGTTGCCCAGACCTGGATCCATTTGTTTTTACATGTCCAGGCCGCCCAAGGGGGTATCTAACGTGGTGGTCCCGCGCTGGAACCATGTGTTTTTATGTGCCCAGGCCTCCCTGGGGGTATCTAACATTGTTGTCCCGAACTGGTACCGCGTGTTTTCACGTGTCCAGGCCACCCAGGAGGGTTTCTCACTTGGTGATCCTGTGCTGGAACCGTGTGATTTTGCGTGTCCAGACCACCCAGGGGGTATCTAACATGGTGGTCCCGAGCAAAGACCAGGTGTTAAACGTATCCAGGCCGCTCATGGGTGCATCTAACACGGTTGTCCCGAGCTGGCACCCGCGTTTTCACGTGTCCAGGCCACCCAGGGGGGGGTATCCAACATGGTTGCCCCGAGCAAGGGCCACGTTTTTTCACGTGTGTAGGCCATCCAGGTGTGTATCTAACATGGTTGCCCAGACCTGGATCCATTTGTTTTTACATGTCCAGGCCGCCCAAGGGGGTATCTAACGTGGTGGTCCCGCGCTGGAACCATGTGTTTTTACGTGCCCAGGCCTCCCTGGGGGTATCTAACATTGTTGTCCCGAAATGGTACCGAGTGTTTTCACGTGTCCAGGCCACCCAGGAGGGTTTCTCACTTGGTGGTCCTGTGCTGGAACCGTGTGATTTTGCGTGTCCAGACCACCCAGGGGGTATCTAACATGATTGTCCCGAATTGGAACCACGTGTTTTTACGGGTCCAGGCCGCCAAAGGGGGTATCCAACATGGCGTCGGGCCCAATGCCGAATTATCAGGAAACGCACGGAGGGCCGAAAAGCGCTAACTGAACACATATCCTAAAACAGAGCAGTCATGTTTTCTTGCTCTATACAGGGGGTTGCGCTTTGGGGGCCTCTCCAGGGAAGACATTGCGATGATGTCTCGAGCGGGAGCGCGAATTCAGCGTATCCAAGCCACGCAGGGGGTATCTAACATGGATGTCCCGAGTTGCAACCACATGTTTTTACATGTCCAGGCCACCCAGGGGGATATCTAACATGTTTGTCCCGAGCTGGAACCACGTGTTTTTACCTGCCCAGGCCACTCTGGGGGGTATCTGACGTAATTGTCCCGACTGACACCACGTGTTTTTACGTGTCCATGCCACCCAGGGGGTATCTAACATGGTGGTCCCGAGCAACGACCAGGTGTTTAAACGTATCCAGGCCGCTCATGGGTGCATCTAACACGGTTGTCCCGAGCTGGCACCCGCGTTTTCACATGTCCAGGCCACCCAGGGGGGTATCCAACATGGTTGCCCCGAGCAAGGGCCACGTTTTTTTCACGTGTGTAGGCCATCCAGGTGTGTATCTAACATGGTTGCCCAGACCTGGATCCATTTGTTTTTACATGTCCAGGCCGCCCAAGGGGGTATCTAACGTGGTGGTCCCGCGCTGGAACCATGTGTTTTTACGTGCCCAGGCCTCCCTGGGGGTATCTAACATTGTTGTCCCGAACTGGTACCGCGTGTTTTCACATGTCCAGGCCACCCAGGAGGGTTTCTCACTTGGTGGTCCTGTGCTGGAACCGTGTGTTTTTACGTGTCCAGGCCACCCAGGGGGGTATCTAACATAGTTGTCCCGAGCTGGCACCATGTGTTTTTACGTGTCCAGGCCACCCAGGGGTGTATCTAACATAGTTGTCCCGAGCTGGCACCAACGTTTTTACGTGTCCAGGCCGCCCAGGGGGGTATTCAACATTGCGGAACCAGGTGCTTTAACATGTCCAGGCCACCCAGAGGAGGTATCCAACATGGGCCTCCTGGGGCCTTCCTGGGGGCCTGGAACGGACGTCTAAGATGCAGATGTGTTGAGGATGCCTCGAGGGAACCACTTGTTTTCATGTGTCCAGTTCGCCCAGGCGGATGTCTAGCATGAGGTGGCACGTCCATTGGCACGTTCAGTAGCGCGTCCCCTCGGCACGTCCCGTGGCACGTCCCCTGGCACGTCGCCTGGCGCGTCCTTTGGGACGTTCCGCGGCGCGTCCTCCTGGCATGCTCCCCTGTCAATTAGCTCTGGGGCAGCTACTATGTGCTGAGGCAGCTCGAGCTTAAGATCCAGATCAGTTCGGCCAGGACTCGGATGCAAAGGAGGACTCGATCCAAAACGCTATAGAGGGCAATCGCGGCATGGCACATCGTAATTCAGCACGGCGCAGCACAGCACAACCCTCGGCACGGTACATCAAGATCGATACACTCAGCATTGCAACCTGGCCCTTGGCACGTTCCGTGGCGCGTCCCGTGGCGAGTCCCCCTGGCACGTCGCGCGGCGCGTTCCCTGGCAAGTCCTGTGGCACGTCCATTGGCACGTTCCGTAGCACGTCCCCTTGGCACGTCCCGCGGTGCGTCCCCGTGGCACGTCCCCTGGCACGTCGCCTGGCTCGTCCGGACGTTCCGCAGCGCGTCCTCCGGACATGTCCCCCTGTCAATTAGATCTGAGGCAGCTACTATGTGCTGAGGCAGCGCGAGCTTAAGATCCAGATCAGTTCGGCCAGGACTCGGATGCAAAGGAGGACTCGATCCACAACGCTATAGAGCACAATCGCGGCATGGCACATCGCAGTTCAGCACGGCGTTGCACAGCACAGCCTTCGGCACGGTACATCAAGATCGATACACTCAGCATTGCAACCTGGCACGTTCCTTGGCACGTTCCGTGGCGCGTCCCGTGGCGAGTCCCCCTGACACGTCCCGTGGCACGTCCATTGGCACGTTGCGTAGCGCGTCCGCTTGGCACGTCCCGCGGTGCGTCCCCGTGGCACGTCCCCTGGCACGTCGCCTGGCGCGTCCCTTGGGACGTTCTGCGGCGCGTCCTCCTGGCATGTTCCCCTGTCAATTAGCTCTGGGGCAGCTACTACGTGCTGAGGCAGCTCGAGCTTAAGATCCAGATCAGTTCGGCCAGGACTCGGATGCAAAGGAGGACTCGATCCACACCGCTATAGAGCACAATCGCGGCATGGCACATCGCAATTCAGCACGGCGTTGCACAGCACAGCCTTCGGCACGGTACATCAAGATCGATACACTCAGCATTGCGTTTGTCCGTCGCCCAATCAGGTGTCTTTGAAACGTTGCCATGCCTTACATTTTATTCCTTTCCGGGTTCGTGGGTCGATCATGTTCCCAACCCTCCTTGGTTGGGCATTCGTTTTGACTAATGCATTTTGCTCAGTTCTTCCTCCTGTCCGCCTTCCTCCTGCCTCCTCCTGTCTTGCCTCGGGGGGGGGGGCTGCGATCTGTGAAACTGTCGCCACTTTCGAGGGTTGCTGGGGGTCCAGCACAGTGACGTCCTACGCAGATTCAAATGTGACCTCGCCATCCCTGGGGGGGCTGCGATCTGTGAGACGGTCGCCACTTTCGAGGCCTGCTGGGGGGTCCAGCATAGTGGCGTGCTACGCATATTCAAATTTGACCTCGCCGTCCCCGGAGGGCTGCGATTTGTGAAACCGTCGCCACTTTCGAGGGCTGCTGGGGGGTCCAGCACAGTGACGTCTTACGCAGATTCAAACGAGACCTCGCCTTCCCTGGGGGGCTGCGATCTGTGAGATGGTCGCCACGTTCGAGGCCTGCGGGGGGGTCCAGCGCAGTGACGTCCTGCACGTATTCAAATGGGACCTCGCCATCCCTGGTGGGCTGCGATCTGTGAAACTGTCCTTACTTTCGAGGGCTGCTGGGGGGTCCAGCACAGTGACGTCCTACGCAGATTCAAATGGGACCTCGCCATCCCTGGTTGGCTGTGATCTGTGAAACTGTCGCCATTTTCGAGGCCTGCTGGGGGGTCCAGCACAGTGACGTCCTACGCAGATTCAAACGAGACCTCGCCTTCCCTAGGGGGCTGCGATCTGTGAAACTGTCGCCATTTTCGAGGGTTGCTGGGGCCCAGCACAGTGACGTCCTACGCAGATTCAAACGAGACCTCGCCATCCGTGGGGGGCTGCGATCTGTGAAACGGTCGCCGCCACTTGCGAAGGCTGCTGGGGGGTCCAGCACAGTGACGTCCTACGCAGATGCGGATTCGACCTCGCCATCCCTGGGGAGCTGCTACTTGTGAAACTGTCGCCATTTTCGAGGCCTGCTTGGCGGTCCAGCACAGTGACGTCCTACGCAGATTCAAATGGGACCTCGCCATCCCTGGTTGGCTGCGATCAGTGAGACGGTCGCCACTTTCGAGGCCTTCTGGGGGGTCCAGCACAGATGCGTCCTACGCAGGTTCAAATGGGACCTTGCCGTCCCTGGGGGGCTGCGATCTGTGAAATTGTCGCCACTTTCGAGGCCCTGGGGGGTCCAGCATACTGACGTCCTACGCAGATTCAAATGGGACCTCGCCATCCCTAGGGGGCTGCGATCTGTGAGATGGTCGCCATTTTCGAGGCCTGCGGGGGGGTCCAGCATAGTGTCGTCTTACGCAGGTTCAAGTGGGACCTTGCCGTCCCAGGGGGGCTGCGATCTGTGAAACTTGTCGCCACTTTCGAGGGCTGCTGGGAGGTCCAGCACAGTGACGCCTTACGCATATTCAAATCAAACATCGCCATCCCTAGGGGGCTGCGATCTGTGAGACGGTCGCCACTTTCGAGGCCTGCTGGGGGGTCCAGCATAGTGACGTGCTACGCAGACTCAAATGGGACCTCGCCATCCCTGAGGGGCTGCGATCTGTGAAACTATCGCCACTTTCGAGGGCTGCTGGGGTCCAGCACAGTGACGTCCTATGCAGATTCAAATGGGACCTCGCCATCCTTGTTGGGCTGCGATCTGTGAAACAGTCGCCACTTTCCAGGCCTGCTAGTGGGGCGGGCCAGCATCGTGGGGCCCCACGGCGGACCCAATTGGGACCTCCCAACTGCTGGTCGCAGAAATACATACGTCCATGTCTCGCCATCACCCCCTTATGACGTCGCCCAAGCTGCTCATGCCCCGCATTGCGCAGGGGTTGGGTACGTCGCCAGGGTATTTTTTGTTGTATCTTTCTCCCTTGTCCCTCCTCTGCTTGGCGGGGTGGGACACTTGCAGTACCTGAGCCCTTCGGGACCGATTCGCGTAAGTCGCACATACGCGGGGACGCTCCGCGCTGGAGTCTACCTGAAATTGAGTCCGTGCCCATCTCCGAGCCGAAACCTGCGCAGCGCCTGTTTCCTCATCACATCGCAAAAGGCTCGCTTCTTCGGGAGGCTTTTATTTCGGCAGGGCTTCGCCCCCTGCCGCCGGCCCCCTCTCTCGGATAATGGGCTATGCAAGAGCTGAATCATGAGGCCTCGGCGCCTCCGTGAAGCAGCATCGGCAAGAGAAATTGAGATTCTGATGATATTGTTGGAGTCAGTGTTGCATTTTGAACCTGCCCCCGTCTGCTGTGCTCTGAGGTTCCCCACAGAATTTCAGACATGTGGCAAATCCCATGGGTTTTTCGACCCTGACTCCGCCGATCTGCGTGAGGGGTGCCTCCGAATTTCAGAAATGCGGCAAATCCCGTTGTTTTTTCGACCCTGACCCCGGCGATCTGCGTGAGATTTCAGAAATGTGGCAAATCCCATGAGTTTTTTGACCCTGACCGCGCCGATCTGAGTGAGGGGTGCCGCGGAATTTCAGAAATGTGGCAAATCCCATGTGTTTTTCGACCCTGGCTCCGCCGATCTGCGTGAGGGGTGCCTCCGAATTTCAGAAATGTGGCGTATCCCATTGGTTTTTCGACCCCCACTCTGCCGATCTGCGTGAGGGGCACTGCCGAATTTTAGAACTGTGGCAAGTCCCATCGGTTTTTCGACCCTGACTCCGCTGATCTGCGTGAGGGGTGTCACCGAATTTTGGAAATGTGGCAAGTCCCATTGATTTTTCGACCCTGACCCCGCCGATCTGCGTGAGGGGTGTCAATTTCGACCCCCCTCAGACATTCTGGGAACCCTCCCCAGAGACGCTAACCAGGGCACTTTTCTACAACAAGGAACAGGAGCAGCAGAAAGCAATCTTGTTACAGTGGGAACTGGAAACTGGAACTGGCGCAGGGAACAGCAAACCCTCGTCCTGCAGCCTGGTGGCCCCACAAGGGGGCCGGCGGATCCCCCCGCAGTCCTGCCGTTCATCCTCGCCCCCTGGCCGCTGGAAAGGCCCTGCTCGTGGACCAGGGGGTCGGGGATTTGATTTTCGCGTGGGCTCCCGCGTCCTTGGCCAGCCCTTCCGTCCTTTTACTCGTCCGCTCGCTCCCTTCCACCCTTTTTCCCCTGATCCTCCTCGTTCCTTCCATGACCAGAATCCATGGCCAGATGACCGATGCGGTTTGCGAGCCACCACGCGGCCCGTGGAAAGCCAATCGGGGCACTGTCGCCGCCGAGCGCAAGCTTTCGTCGAGGCGTCGTTGCCAGAGCGGGCCCCGACCTCCCCCGTGAGCCGCGGACTTTCTGTGAGCTTCTGTTGCAGGTTTCCGCCTGCCAGGCCTGACTGCGCGCAAGAGGGGGCGTCAGCGACGGGGGCGGGCTTCTGAGAAGCCGGGGGGGGGTGCTCCGAGCGCAGAGGCCTCGTTAGAAAGGGCCTGTTGGCTTCGAAGGCAGTTGCCTGCTCGCGAGCAGCCCCCCCGTGCCGTTCTTTGGAGCCCCCCCGGGTTTTTCCGAAGGCTGCCCCACTCACGCCACTACCTTTGTACGCGCTGCCCACCTGCCCTCCCGCTCCTTCTCGCCCTCCCCTCCCCTCCCCTCCCCCTCGGCCCCCTCGCCGCCGCGCTCGTCCTTCTCGCCCCTCGCCCTCCTCTGCCTCGCCTTCTCCCCTCTCCCTCGCCGCGCCTCCCTCGAGCTGCGCCCCGACGTGGCACGGGGGGCGGCGCGTCCGCGCTGATGCCCCCCCCCTCCCTTCTGTCCAGGTGGGCAAAGACGAGTTTGTGGAGGGCCTGATGCGTGCAGGCGCGGCGTTTGTCGCCTCCACGGCCGGCCGTACCCCGGGGCGGGCCCCGCGCTCTGGGAACCGAGGGAAGCCGCCCTCGGCAGGGGCCAGCGGAAAACGCTAGCGGGATCCTGCTGAGGTGAGGCGAGGCCGGTGGGAGCTGGCAGAAGCCAGCGGAGGACCAGCGGTTGGCCGGCTGATGTGAGAAGCGCCTCCCCGAAAGAGGCTTATCGGTGGAACCGGAATGGGTACGAAAGCAATTGGCACGACGCTCAGCAACAGTTCTTGTCCATCTTGAACAGGACTCGCTGTCTGTCTGTCTGTCTGTCTGTCTGTTTGTCTGTCTGTCTGTCCGTCCGGCCGGCCGGCCGGCCGGCCGGCCGGCCGGCTGGCCGTCTGTCTATTTGTCTGTCTGTCTGTCTGTCTGTCTGTCTGTCTGTCTGTCTGTTTGTCTCTTTGTCTGTCTGTCTGTTTGTTTTTCCCCATATCCTAAGATGGGGTTCTTGTTATTTCTTGGACGCCGCCGACTCAAGAAAACCAGAACACACCTAGAACACAGACTTACTCATACACAGACTTACTCATACTCAGACTTACTCATACCCAGACGTACTCATGCACAGACTTACTCATACCCAATTTTTCTCATACGCAGACTTACTCATACACAGACTTACTCATACTCAGACTTACTCATACCCAGACGTACTCACACACAGACGTACTCTTACTCAGACCTACTCGTATTCAGACCTTCTCATAGTCTGAGATACTCAACACACGGCAGATTTTGAGGATGTCTCAGGCGGGGCGCTGGCTTCAGCACCCCTAAGGGGAGCCGCCAGGGGGTGTATCACGGGCCCGTTCGCGGCCAGTTGGTGGGGATGTCTCAGGCGGTTTGCTCGTTTTCATGCCCAACATTCTTTGCTTTCAGAGCCGATTGTGAGGATGTCTCAGGCGGGGCGCTGGTTTCAGCACCCCTAAGGGGACCCGCAATGGGTGTTCTCACGGGCCCGTTCGCGGCCAGTTTGTGGGGATGTCTCAGGCGGTTTGCTTGTTTTCATGCCCAACATCCTTTGCTTTCAGAGCAGATTGTGAGGATGTCTCAGGCGGGGCGCTGGTTTCAGCACCCCCAAGGGGAGCCGCCAGGGGTGTTCTCACAGGCCCGTTCGCGGCCAGTTGGTTGGGATGTCTCAGACGGTTTGCTCGTTTTCATTCCCAACATCCTTTGCTTTCAGAGCAGATTGTGAGGATGTCTCAGGCGGGGCGCTGGTTTCAGCACCCCTAAGGGGAGCCGCTAGGGTGTTCTCACAGGCCCGTTCGCGGCCAGTTTGTGGGGATGTCTCAGGCGGTTTGCTTGTTTTCATGCCCAATATCCTTTGCTTTCAGAGCAGACTGTGAGGATGTCTCAGGCGGGGCGCTGGTTTCAGCACCCCTAATGGGGACCCGCAATGGGTGTTCTCACGGGCCCGTTCGCGGCCAGTTGGTGGGGCTGTCTCGGGCGGTTTGCTAGTTTTCATGCTCAACATCCTTTGCTTTCAGAGCAGATTGTGAGGATGTCTCAGGCGGGGCGCTGGTTTCAGCACCCCCAAGGGGAGCCGCCAGGGGTGTTCTCACGGGCCCGTTCGCGGCCAGTTTGTGGGGATGTCTCAGGCGGTTTGCTCGTTTTCATGCCCAACATCTTTTGCTTTCAGAACAGATTGCGAGGATGTCTCAGGCGGGGCGCTGGTTTCAGCACCCCTAAGGGGAGCTGCCAGGGGTGTTCTCACGGGCCCGTTCGCGGCCAGTTTTTTGGGATGTCTCAGGCGGTTTGCTCGTTTTCATGCCCAACATCCTTTGCTTTCAGAGCAGATTATGAGGATGTCTCAGGCGGGGCGCTGGTTTCAGCATCCCTAAGGGGAGCCGCCTGGGGTGTTCTCACGGGCCCGTTCGCGGCCAGTTGGTGGGGATGTCTCAGGCGGTTTATTCGTTTTCATGCCCAACATCCTTGGCTTTCAGAGCAGATTTTGTTGCGTTGTCAGGAGGTCTGTGCACCGAGACCACCAACGTCATGATTTTCTCAACACGTCGCCTCCCCGAGGTCTCGACGTCTTCCCCAGGACCGGCTTTTCATCCCGAGTTGTTTTCTGAAGGTCCCAGGCCCTGGGGATGGCCCCGGGAGGACGACAATCGACGAAAACCCACCGTGAAGATTTTTTCACGATGCGAGGGGGTCTGAGGAGGGGCAGGTCTCCATGAGGCCCGCTCCCAGGGGCCGGGCTTCCGGTCCGGTGCCCCGTCGTCCCTCCCCAGGGGTTCGGGCCGGGGAGGCAGGCCTTGCGTGGCGCGCGCCGAGGACCAGCCCCGAGACGGGGCCCGCGGAGGCGCAGTGGCGGTGTACGGTCGGGAACCTTGGGTTGCGGCGGTGGCGTTGGTTAAGGAATGTGTCCAGGAGGCCTTAGACCCTGGAGGTTTCTTTATCCACGGCCACTCCACAACCAACTGGAACTCCGCCGGCTTCCAGGCCGTGGATTCCTTATCCAATGGTCCCTTATCTCCCTCTGGACGGGGAGCCCTGGCCTGGGCGCGGACCCTGGAAGTTTCCTTATCCGATGAGAGCGTCTGGGATACCCACGGCCAATCCAAAACTGGAGCTCCGCCGGCTTCCAGGCCGTGGATTCCTCATCCGATGCTCCCTTATCTCCCTCTGGACGGGGAGCCCTGGGCGCGGCGCGCGCTATCCTGGCGCTCTGTGGGAGCGGGCGGTGTCTCTCATGCGCCCTCGCGCTCTGGTGGGGCGGGCGGTTCCCGATGCGCTACAAGACAGTCGTATTGTATGCTCGGGGCGGACGCACGCCTCCGAAGAGGACACGTGGTACGAGCATGTCCAGGTGCGTCCCAGGTCATGCTGCTCAGAAGTGCCCCCCCCACTTGGGTGCCCCCGGCAGCACGGTCGGGGGCATGCGAGCCGGGGAGGCAGCTCCGAGGTGTGGGGGTGCTGCAGCGCGGCGTGGCCGCAGGTGGTGGTCCGCCAGGAACTCGCGGCTGGCCTGCAGTCCGGGACCTACACTACACCACGACCACCAGCACCCACCACCACCAGCACCACCACCACCAGCACCCACCACCACCACCTGCACCCACCACCCACCACCACCAGCACCCACCACCACCACCACCACCACCACCACCACCACCACCACCACCACCACCACCACCACCACCACCACCACCACCACCACCACCACCACCACCACCACCACCACCACCACCACCACCACCACCACCACCACCACCACCACCACCACCACC